ATTTCCGGGGTTTTTTTTTGTTTTTTTTGTTTTTTTTTTTTTTTTTTTTTTTTTTTTTTTTTGGTACCAGGGATTGAACTTCGGTCCTTGTGCTGTCGAAGGTAGGCGGCAGAACCACTGCGCTAACTCCCTGGTCCTATGATTTATCATTTCTAATTGCATGGATCTGGGTATTTTTTCCTTCTTTTTGTAAGTTTGGCTATGGGTTTAATAATCCTGATTATACTTTCAAAGAACCAATTCGCTGAACTTTCGTATTTTTTTAGTCTCAATTTCAGTAATTTCCCCTCTGATTTTTATAATTCCTTTTCTTCTACTAATTTTAGATTTGGATTGTTCTGAATTTTCTAGGACCTTGAGATGCATCTTTAGGTAATTTATTTGGGAGTGTTCTATCCCTTTAATATTTACTTTCACAGCTCTGAATTTTTTTCTTAGGGCTGCTTTCATGAGCCTCATGGGGTTTGGTATATTGTACCTCCATTATCATTTGATTCTAGGAACTTTTAAATTTCTTCCATGATCCACCGATTATTCAATGTGTTATTTAATTTTCATGTATTTGCACAACATCTATCATTTCTTTTGCTGTTGACTTCTAGTTTCATTCCTCTATGATTTGATAGCATGTGGAGGATAATTTCAATGTTTTTGTATTTACTTAAATATACCTTCAGCCTAGTTTGGAAAATATTTCACGTGCTAGTGAGAAAAATATTTATTCTGTTGTTGTTGGGTGAAATACTGTGTAGATATATGTTAAGTCCATTTGTTCAATGATGTGATTTAACTCTGATATTTCTTTGTTGATTTTTAGTCTAGTTGACTTCTCTATTTTTGACAGTGGAGTATTAAAGTCTCTTGCTATAATAGTATTAGTGTCTATCGGTCTTTTTATGTCTGGTATTTTTTGTTTTATGAAGTCAGGTATGCCCACGTTCATTACAAACACACTTGCAATTTTTATTCCTTCCAGGTGAACAGTTCCCTTTACCCATATATAGTGGCCATCTTTGTCTCTATTGATCAGTTATGGCTTGAAATCTACTGTATCTTTAAATAAGGTGGCTACTCCTGCTCCTGCTTGCTTTTAGGATCTAATTACATGGGGTATTGTTTCCCATCCCTTTATTTTCAGTCTTTGTGTTTTCTTTTGGATGAAGTATGTCTCTTGAGGCAGCACATAGTTCAATTTTGTTTCTGATACTATCTATCAGTCTGGGTTTTGGGTTGGAAATTTAAGACCATTTACATTGAGAGTTATTAGTTAATATTTACTGAATCTTGTATTATTTTTAGGGTGTCACCGAGTATGTGATCTATTGTCTTCAAGTTCTGATAATCTGTTCTCCCATTGGTCAGTCTGCTACCCATGTATTACTTATTTCTTTCATTGAATATTTCATTGGTCAAGTCTGCTATCCATCCCTTCCATTGACTTTTTTATATCCCAAGTTTATGCTTGTTTTCTCTTCATAATTTCTATTTCCCTACCAAAGTGATGAATCATATCCTGTGTTGTTTTAACTCTATAAGCTTATGGCCTTGCTTTCTCATATTTTTTATTGTTTTTGTGCTGCGGTATGAAGATCAGTTAGGTAGGAAAACTCACTGTGGATATCTGGTTAATAAGATCCTGTCTCCCTGTGATGTGTTACTGCGTTTGGTTCTGTTTTGGTGTTTATACTTCTCTTCACCCTATTTAATGTAATATTTGAGGGTCTTCTTAGTGTTCAGCTTTCTTCTGGAAGCTTGCTCCCCAGCACCGCTCAGAGAACAAATGCTCTCAAGGAGAAAACAAATGTTGATAACACTCGTGTTTGCTGAGACAGCCGCCCTCTCCCCAGGAGCTGAGGTCAGTGTTCCAGACTGTCTCATTCTCTTCTCTAGTTTATCTTTAGCTTCGCTGTGATGTCTAGCTTTCCCACTGTCTCTTTCTGGACCCTTCCTTCTGTTTCTCTTCACTAAATTGTTGTTTTCCAGGTGTCTGGATTCCGGGTCCTAGAGAGGTTGACTTAACATCCTCATAAGTAACATAAAGATAGTTGTAGTTTTAAAGTCCAACCTCTACATTTTCTCAGGCAAGTTCCTTTACCTACATGTGTCTGAAGCTCACCTTTCTTCTCCGCAAAATGAAGATATCTGGACTGAGTTATTTCTATAATCTCATCCATATTTATAATTACATATTTTGTTGAACCTAGTCCCTTCTTTTAAAGTTATTCTTTCCTCCAGCAGCAACTAAAACATGGTAATTATTTGTCAAGGTGTTTTAAGTTTATATGCTACTACATTTTCCCTTCATATTTCACATTTTAAATATAAACTCAAACATACACTTCTGAAAAATTATTTTTCCAGTTTTCTTTAAAAACACTGAACAGTTTCTATTTATTTTAAAGGAATTTTTACATTTCAACTCTTTTGTAATTATTAAATAATCGATCTTATTTCCCTCTGCATATGTGATGATTTCTATTTGTCCAGCAGACATAAAGAAAGTGAATTAGGTCATTTGTACGAGAGAATTTGAGCCAGGATTTGGAATTGCTCATTCTTGACGGCTGTGCTGAGATCATTTCCCTCATTCTATTTTGAAGATAAAGTTTCTTTGTTACCTTGGATCATGGTTTAAATTAGGTTAACTTCCCTCCTTTTTCTGATTTATATGATGAGGTGATTGCTTAAAGATGGGAATTCTCCTAAAGTCCAGATCTTGACAAATAGTACGACTCTGTCGTCTAAGGCAGAACCTTGGGAGTTATCCAAGACTCCCCCCTCTCCCTTACCACACACATGTTCAATTAATCATCATAGCCTGATGATTTTTTTAAAAATCAGAACTTGTTTCGGGACTACAGAAAATCAGAAAGCATAGTGTAAGTAACAAATATGAACCAATCATCAGGTTTGTGGATTTATAGCATGTTGTCTCGTATATACACTTTAGGTATCTTTTTAAATAAGTAGATTATTACATACAAAGATTCAGCCCCTGTCCTGATTTTGGTCTTTTTCATTTCCATGGTCTTTGTATTATTACCACAGAGAGTGTTATACTGCATGTTTATCTATGCATATTTTATACTTTATATATTCATCAACTTGCTTATTTTATTCACATTGTTCTTGAGATCTGAGAACTAGATATTGAAGTCTAACCCACTATTTTGAAATGATGTAATATTCCATTATTATAAGTAATTATCACGTATTAATAGTCTTGACATTTAGATTGTTTCTACTTTTTTCTATTACAGATGTGCTGCAATAAATATCCATGTGTCTGTCTTCCTGTACAGACTCTGTACCGCTCTTCTCTGGAGTGCAGTAGCTCTGGTGCCCTGGAGTCCTGCAAATACCATAGTTACAGGCACCTCAAAATGTTGACCTCCTTTATTGGTGCAGGTGGCTGGGGCCTGAGACATTAGGGTTGTTTGATTAGCAGCCTTCTCCTCTTAACCAGCATATGGTGTCGATCATTTGTACAATGTCTAGTGAGGTATCTGACCCCCTATGTACAGAGGCTTGCTTATATAAATCAACCATAGGAGCCTATCAATATGCAAAGTAACTCTATGAGCTAGTATTATTTTTAATTAATATTTTAAAATTTGTATTAGTACATGTTTGCAGTACATAATGATTACATTCATCCTGGGGAATTGGTACATAACACATCATAAGGTCTATTATTATCCTTATTTTATAGACAAGGAACCTGAAACACAGAGGTAGTTATGCAACTTGACCAGATTAAGCCACGAGCAAGCTGCAGAAACCGTGACTAACACCTCTGTAGTGCTGAGCGTAAACTGCAGTGTTCCTCTAGGTAAGCAGTGAGGAGCGGGCTGGAGGTAAACGCACCTTCAAGTTCACTAGAGAAGGTCACATTGCTCCTCCAAAGGTTATACTCATTCACCCTCCCACAGAATCATGTGAGAGCTTCTGTGTCAATCTGACAGCTGAGTCAAATTTATGTTTTTGTTGTTTGCATTTTGTTTTCCTTGATTTACAAATGATTGAATGTATTTTCATAACTTTTACGTCTATTCATGTTTCTTATTTGTTACTTGACTATTCCTATCCCATGACCTTTCTCTTATTGTTTTTCTTACTAATTTCTGAGGGTTTATTATGTAAACTGGATATTAATTCTTTGTGTCACTTTTTTTGTGTATTTCTCCTTCCAGTTCCTAGGGAGAATTGATACATTGAACTAAAGTTTAAGAATTTTATTGCGAATACTATATTTTCATTTTAAATTTACTTTTAAAAAAGATGGAATCCCTATAAGTCACTATTTCTGAGAAAATCTATAGTCCCTGTACCGGCTGGGTAATAGAACTACCTCACTGTCAGATATCAGAGAAGGTTAATGATTCATCTTCCCAAGGTGGGTGAATATGACCAAGCTCCTGTGAAAAACATAGCTTATACTTTTATAAAATTTTTTGTTTTTATTTTTAGTATATGTTTGCAGTATATAATGATTACATTCCTCACGGGGAGTTGGTACATGTACAAAACACATCTTAATTCTTCTTAATTCTTTCTTAATTCTTTTGTTTCTGAGACTGGGTCTTGCTGTGCAGTTCAGGCTGGCCTTGAACTCAGCATGTATCCTAAGCTGTCCTCAAACTTGTGGCAATTCTCCTGCCTCAGCCTCCTGAGTGCTGGGGTTATAGGCATGTGCCACCACGCCCAGTTTAATACATTTGTCATCCCCTTTTCCTCCCTTTCTTGCCTCCCTCCATCTCGTGATCCCCTTGTCATCTGAGAAAGATCCAACTCCCACCACTTATATATTTAATGCATTACTATCTATAATGTCTATGGTTTTCTTGAACAAATCTAGGTTTGTTTGTTTCTAGTTAGGAATTATGAGCTATTTGTCTTTGGAACAACCAAAAATATTTTGATATTATAGAAAATCTCTGCCTGTGACAATAAGGACACTTTGAAACTTTACTACCATAATATGCAAAGTAAATTTTAACTTAATTCTTAGGGATGGACATACTCTAAATAATCTTTCATATCCTTTAAACACAGGGGAGTTGTAACAATAGCTTTGTATTTTCTGTATTTTCTTTTTTTTTCTCATTGAGTTTATTGGTACATTTTAGATGTACAGTACAGTTACATTCATTATTGGGATCTTGTACCTTTACATGACAGGTCTTGGTTCTCATTTTTTCCACTTACCCCTGCCCTCCCTTCACCCCCCTCCTCCCTTCCCTTTTTACTAATGCTTTATTTCCATTTTTTCATTTCCTCATATTTTTTCTTTTCCTTTATTTCCTTTCAACAGCACATATCTTCTCAAGTTGCCTGTTACTAATGGCCAGGCTTTCAGTTTTAATTTATTTTTCTAAACTTTTTATTGTGGAAAAGTGTTAGACTTAGGGAAAGTTTGCAAAAATTATATGGATTGTCCTTATAAACTCTTCAATCAACTGCCCTTACTGTTAAAATCATATACAACTATAGCATGGTTACCAGAATTAAGAAATTAGCATTGACACAGCTCTATGAACTACAGACTTTATATGGATTTACCAGTTTATCGTCATCCATCCCCAGGGTCTCATCCAGGGTCTCACACTGCACTCCTGCGTGCGCCTATGAAGAACAGGGTCTTGCCATCTGACCCCGATTGTTTCTGATGGGGGACAGTTTCTTGGTTTCCGCCTTTCTCATGCTGCTGATGATCTGGAGGGACCCTCGCCAGGTAAGTGCCTGGCCTGAGTTTGGTTGATGTGTTCCCATGACTAGTCTGGGGCTCTGAGTTGATTTAGAGAGCGTCACTGAGTGACGCGCTGTTCCCATCTCACGAGGAGGGAGAGGACGCCCTCGTGAGGTCACAGGTGGTATTGACCTTCATCATTTGGTGAACACCACATTTCTCAGGTGTCTCCGCTGCAGAGTTTCTGTTTCTCTCTTTTCCGCTCTACTCTTAGGCAGCAAGTCCTTCGGCCTGCTCATCATTGACGGGTAGGTGAGTGCATGTTCCTGTGGCAGGAGGCATCTACGAATATTGCTTGGAATTCTTTCAAAGGAAGATCCGTCAATTCTCCCCTATTTGTGTGTTTATTTATTCAAACCAGCACGGACTTGTATATTCATTCTACATCCTGAGTTATATACCAATATTACATTATTTATTGCACAGTTTAAATTGTTTCAGCATTGGTCACTTAAAGCTCTTTCAGGCTGGTTCCTGTGTCCCTTTGATATACGGTTTCTCTCAATAATTATAGCGCCCAGCAGTAAATGCTGCCCAAAACAGTTATTTCTGTAGATTTCCAATAGTGATTTTTCTATTTCTTCCCTCAATTTAATAAAGATAAACTAAAGAAAATTAGGGGGTATTATTTTTTCTTTGACACAGGCTGTGATCCTTCCAAATTTTGAATATTGAACCTATCTCCCCTCTCCATATCCAAGCTTTAAGAGATCTGGGTTTGAATTTCAGCTTTGACACTTCAGGCTATCTGTAGTTAGGCAAGATGTAAAATAGCATCTAGATTCAAAGTTCTGACACCAAATGTGTGGCATTTTTTCCTCTATACTAAATAATCCTCCAGCACTCTCTCTCTCTCTCTCTTTCTCTCCTTCTCCCTCTCCCTCTCCTTCTCCATCTTCCTCTCCCTCTGTCTCAATTTTTTGAGACAGGGTATCACCATGTAGTCCAGGCTGATCTTGGACTCACTTTGTTGCCCAGGCTGGCCTTGAACTTGAAGAGATTCTCCTGCCTCAGCCTCCCAAATACTGGGATTACAGGTGTGCAGCACCACACCCTGCTCCCTCCAGTTCTCTTGGAAACCAATTGAGTACCCGGAGTCAGCACAGGAACCCCAGGTTAAGGGCTTAGTCTCACAAGCCTGCCCTAATGTCAGATACCAATTGAAAGCCCTACGTTACCTCTTGTGCTTATGACCGACTGGCTATATAATTCAAGGGTTCCCATGATCCCCTCCTTGGGCTAGATAATTTACTATTTCGATTTATGAAACTTAGAACTACTCCATTCACGAATGTTGATTTATTAGGAATGATGTAGTGTTTAAGAATAGCCAAAGGGAAGAAGTGCGTAAGACCAGGGAAGGCATGCAGAGCTCTGTGCCCTGTTTTGTACACCATCTTCCATCGCCGCCAGGTGTTTAAGAACCTGGAAGCTCTCTGAACTCTATTGTTTAGGATTCTTTTGATATATAGGGATGATTAAATAAACCGCTGACCGCCAAAACTGAACCCCATAGCAAGCCCTCCTCCCTCATTTAGCCTCTGAAAGTCACCTCATCAGCATAAAATCGGGTATGGCCGAAAGGAATTCATTATGAACAACAAAAACACTGCTCTCAGCCCATCACTCTGGAAATACATCAACTACATTACAGAATTATAAAAATAGGTAGATGAATTGATTAGTGCGTTTAACGTTCCCAGGGCCGAAGAAGATGGATAGTCTTATTCTAGCCTCCACCAGCACTACCCTTGCCTCCATACTCCTGCCATTGCAAATCTGATGTGACCTCGTCTTGTTGAGACTTAGCTACTTCTGCCAGTTATTGTAAACAGTAGTTCCCAAGCCTGGCTTTTGAGTAAAATCACCTGAGGAAACTTAAAGATGAACGCCGTAAGTACGGATGGCCTCCGACTTGCCATGATTACAGCTTTCTGAGGGTGCACATTTGATACACAGTCGCTAGAAATTGGACTTTGAGTTTTTCCTAGATTAGTGATGTGCTGTACAGTTTCTGATTCTGGGCATCAGCCGAGGACCACGGCTCCTAGTCAGTCACACGAACATGAGTGTAAATAACAACACTCTGCAGCGTACCGTGTTACTAAGCCTTGAAGTTTGTTATGTTAGGTGTCCTAAATGCATTTTCAACTTACAACACTTTCATGTTATGGTGGGTTTATTGAAACATAGCCCTACCGTTAGTCAAGGAGCATCTATACACGATTTCAATAATGGAAGTTTTTCTTTGTTTTTGCATAATGGGAAAAATTACTCAACAGAAGACCTTTGCTTTTGAAAGGCAATTTATGCTCAATGGTAGAATTACTTTATCATTTAACAAAAGTTTGAGGCTGAATCCTAGCAAAGAGGTAAGAAGAGTGGTTACTTGGATATCTAGAAGTCTCACTTTCCTCAGGGTATAAAGACGGGGGTCAGTGATTTGCTGTGCTGGAAAATGTACAGTGATTTGCTGTGTCCTTATGCAGAAGCTGTACTGAAAAGACCTTGCATCACCCTCTCCAAGAATTACTCAGGGACATAGTGTGCAACAATGGGGCTCAAATGGAATAGCACTCCCGTATCTGGGGCAAAAGACCTGGAAGAGAGAAGGAAGCAGCTGAAGGCAGAAATATTTTTCTCAGGTCCACCTGCGATTTTGGGCTGGGCAGGGACTGGCAGGAAAAATGGGCTCTTTCTGTTGTTGGATGCAGACACCCATCATTTTCTGGGGACCCACCAGTACTTCCCTGAATAGTGCTCTAAGACTTAGTTATAGGAAGAAGAATCTTTCCAGCAGTAGACTGTTAGAGCCTTGTCCTATGGTGGAAGTGGTTACAGAAGTGGGGATTTTAAGTAGACCTTTCCCTTGTGTTGGAGTCTTGGCCTCCAGCCAGTCATCAGTCCCACACCGCTGAATCTGCCTTTGTTGAGGGGTTGGGCCCATGGGAACCAGTGTTGTTGTACTGGGCCGTTAGGAGTCTCTTTTTCTCATCTTTGCCTTTGATCATACTTATTTGAAGCAACCCCTGGACTGTTTCCTTCTCTTTTTAGAGTACATTTTATAAGAAAAATTTCAGTGTGTGTATGTGTGTGTGTGTGTGTGTGTGTGTGGTGGGGAGAGGTGTTAAAAGGCCTGGAGATATTTTCATCAGATCCTCAAGTTGAAATGACAATTTGCTGTACACATAATTTTATGCTCAAACTTGCTATTGATTCCTCTAACTCTTTGATGCTAGGGTTACTGTGGAAAAGGCTAAGTCAAATTTAACTCATATATATATATATATATTACCTGGTTTATTATTTTTATCTCTGGAAGCTTTGAACCTTTTTCTTCATGGCTTGATATTCCTCCATACCACTGGAAGCTTTCACTAGCCTTATATCAGTTCTTCATCTTTCATGCTTTCTAGTCGAGCATGATTGAACAGAAAGCCACTTTTTTTTTAATTTTATTGAGTTTATTGGTACATTTTAGGGATACAGTACAGTTACATTCAATCTTTTCATTCTCACATTTTTTTCTTTTCCCTTTTTGTTCTTCCCCTACACATCACACCTTCCCTACACCTTTAGCTCCTTTCCTCCCATTTCTAAATGTCAGTAATCTTATTAGAATCTTATACATTGTTGCAGAATATTCACACCAGGGGGACTATTTGGTATTTACACATGTGTGACTTATTTATTTCACTTAGGAGTATATCTTCAATATGTATCCATTTTCCTATGAATGAATCTATTCTCTCTCTCTTTATG